CAGTAAGTGATAACCAGAGCCACGACGTTTCGGGCTGTTGATATCACTATCTGTATAGAGCAGCGAACGGGTTATAGCGTAGTAGTAACATGCTTCTATCGAGCACATCGATGTGCCGCAACGTAACGATACTGGTTGAATGCTGGCCTATGTAAAATTTGGGGGGTTCTCTGTGGTGCAGCGTTCAATACGTGTGTGGCCGTTTGTCGGAATAAAACTCAACCAGTGGCGTGGTATACTATATGTGGCGTGATGTGGTCCATGTGGCCCGAGTCTCTACCGTAAGGCGACGAGCCGCCAATGAGTTGCCCGACAACGTCGCGGCTCTGGTAATAACCGTTCTAAAATCAGTGTTACAATGGCTCGCTGGTTAAACATATATCACTTTATACAGGGTGTGTCAAATCTCTGGAATATAGCCAATAACGTTCCGTCCAATCGGAGCAGATGATGCGTCCTAGACAGGACGTCGCGCCTTATTTCTTTATGTAGGTAAGATAAAGGCGCGACGTACTGTCTGGGACGCACCGTCTGTTCCGATTGGATGGAACCCTCCTCTCCCTGCATAGCTTATTTCTGTTTCAACCGCGTTGAAATTCGCCATGTCGTTTTCGAAATAACCGCATCCTACTAAACCGCGATTTTCCGCACTCTATTTTAGATACAGGGTCAATTAAATGTTTGCAAAAAGGATCGCTGTTATTTCATCGTGTACATCAACGTTAAAGAACCTCTATTTGTTGAAGTCATCGAACGCGATGAGAAATTGTGTCGTGATGTTATGTTGCCAAAATTGGTATTATTCTATAAAAATAGCGTAATCGTACGTCGCAGTATACGCAAATAAGACACTGTAAAAAACTTAATTATTACTAAATGTAGGGTAATAACCGTTCTAAAATTAGTGTTACAATGGCTCGCTGGTTAAACATATATCACTTTATACAGGGTGTGTCAAATGTCTGGAATATAGCCAATAACTTCGCCATTTGTGGTTTTAAAGAAAAATGTTTCAAATAAAAAATTCTTTATTAGTTGTGGCGCATTTTTTGGCAATACTTGCTTGTTTACATTGTTCTTTGTTTCGTTGCTATGGCAACCAACATTCTTATTTTAAATGGGATGCATATGTTTTTTTGCACATTTAAATAGAGGATACATCCCTCTACGCGATGAACATATCAAATCATATGGTTGTATTAGAAAAAAATCGAAAAATCTGCAAATTACAATCAAAGTAGGTGCCGAAATAACGCCGTTGACAGCTTTAAATGTAAAAAAATTGACATTTTAAACAAATATGACGCAATTAAGCGAACGACAAAGAATCCAAATATTAATAATGTATGGGTACGGTGCAGGTGATAGAAAACGCACTTAAAGTGAAGTTTGTACACTGTTCAATAATACATATTTACCCGGATACACAAATTACACAATCCACAGTACACAAAATATTAAACAAAAATTTTAACACCGGAAATGTTAAAAACCTTCTAAAAATTTGATGGCCGAAGACGCTACCATTAATCATACATTATTAATTACTCATAATTGTTGAAACTGTAATTTTTTTGACATTTAAAGCTGTCAACGGCGTTATTTCGGCGCCTACTTTGATTGTAATTAGCTGATTAAACACTTTCAAAAAAGCATTTTTTCTCGATTTTTTTCTTATACGAAACAAACAACGAAACAAAAAACAGTACAAACAAGCTAATATCGCCAAAAAATGCGCCATGGTTAATAAAGAAACTTGTATTTGAAACATTTTTCTTTAAAACTACAAATGGCGAAGTTATCGGCTATATTCCAGACATTTGACACACCTTGTGTAATTTTAATAAATAAATAATGTGTCGATTCTCCGGAATTCGGCGTTTCATTGGAGTACTCTCACTTTTCCGTAAACCTTCATCCCTCAACCTCATCCGGCTTGAACCCGCTACGTTTGGAAGTTTATTGGCCAAACCACTTCACCAATCCGCGTAGCTAACGGTTTGGATTTCGGCGAAATGTTTCGTCATATTATATTTTTCGTTCCACTAATTTCTTTTATTACTTTTATTTGTAATAAAAAATTATTATTGCAACGTTAGTAACTAGGGGGCTTAATACACTTAAAATTTTATTTCAATAAATTATAGTATATTATTATATGAGCATATAATGAGGGCTATTATTCACGAAGGTTAAGTTTATGTCACGAGCGAATAATAGCTCATTATATGGGAGTAGAATACTATACATTGTCCACGACTATTCAAATTGATTCCATAAATTTATTTTTTAAATAAATTTTTGAATAAACGTCAATGTGACACAAATTCAATGTTACTAACTGTAACCAACTTCACAACAATTTGTCAAAATTAAGTGTCAGTTTTATAAAACGTCGTTTTCTTTACGAAAATTAATTAATTTATGCTTAAATCATACAAAAAAAGGAATTTGTTTAGGTTTTTTTAATGTCAAACATTTAGAAACTCCTAAAAAATTGAATTAAATTGACGTTTTTTGAACTTTTAACGTTTCAAATAATTATTATTAGTCTGGTCAAGATGGCTACCCGTGAATAATGATTATTATTCACCGCTATTATTCACTCCGTGAAAAATGACTACCATTTTGTTTTAGAAAACTCATTCATAAGGTATATATTATAAGGTAGTCGTGGACAAANTTTTTCGTTCCACTAATTTCTTTTATTACTTTTATTTGTAATAAAAAATTATTGTTGCAACGTTAATAACTAGGGGGCTTAATACACTTAAAATTTTATTTTAATAAATTAAATATTTTATTTATAAATATGGCGCCATCTTTGTGAGTATACCCTGAACTATTTTTATGTTAGAGTGTTTGCCTATGTCAGCGGTTTATTTATTATTCCATATAATTTACATGTAATTTCGTAGTTCCAAGTTTTCTGCTAATTAGCGTAACAAAATGTGTTGATATGGTTTCTATGGACTATTCTGCTTCGAGTAAAGGTATTTCCCGAATGATTTGTGCCTTACTTCGATTTTTATAACAATAACACAAACAAGACAAAGTAGCCAAAAATTACACCTAACTTTGCGATTTTTTTTTGTTAATAATAATAAGAATTTTGGTAATTGGTGATTTTTAGTCGAAAGCCCTATATGTCTACTTTCACCTCATACTAAAAGTTTTACTTCAATTGCTTTCATGCGCCCTAAATCTTGGAACTGCTGAACCTGTTTCTTATGACCTGTATTTTCGTATAGTTTAACGCGACCTTAAGTTAATAAAAAATTGAGATAAATTTTTCATAATGTCCTTTTTTTTAGAACACTGAATATTATTCAATAATAAAAAGACCAATCGCTTTGGATACAATAAGACAAAAATTGGATTGGAATAATTTAAATGGTTGTTACAGTCATTTAGAACAATTAGTGAGAGATGCAAGGCTGATGTTTCAAAATGCCTACAAGTACAATGCGGTAATATAAAAAGATTTTTATAAATTTGATTAATTTCGATAAAAAAATATATTTGTAGGTCGACAGTGATATTTATAATGATGCAAAGACATTAGAAAAGTTTTTTGATGAGCAATTGGAGAAATGGCTTCCAGAATATGCGTACGAAACGTTTGAAGATGAAGATTTACACAGGCCGAACAAAAAGTTTAAACGAATCATAACAGATTAATTTGTTTATACCATTTTTTTTAATAATATGAAAGTATGGGAATTAATTTTGTGTCTCAATATTTGGGATGTCTCGACTTATTATAGTAGATGTTAATTTTATAATGTTTGCTATTAGTTTTGTTTTTATATTGATTATTATACATTAAAAAAAAAAAATAGAAAATGTTTGATTACAAATTATGAAAGACAAAATATAATATATTTTAGTCCTATTGTTCAAGTTATAAGCGGGAAGAGTATAAGATAAAGGAAATGAATATTATTGTCAGTTAATTTATATTGAAAAATGTTCACTTATTTTATATTTTATGGAATAAAAATTTATGTGATAGTTAAACCTATTATTTTTTAAAGGAAAATGTACAAGAAAAACGTACATGTCGTTTTACAAGCTTGTTATAAAAAAATACGAAAAATTATTAATTTTTAAATATTTTATTTCAAGTTTGGGTTTGAGATTAAACACTTTGTTAATTTTTTTTCATGTACAAACCACTGTAGTGCGGAGTAAATTTATAAAATTATTTTTAATTGCAATTTTTATTACTATAAAAAACGTGTATACGTTTTCTTTTGTCATTCATCTTGTAGAAGTTAAGATGTATATCAAATATGTATCAAAAAGATAAAAAAATAAAAAGATATCCATTAAAAAATATTTAGATACAAAGAAATTGGTGCTTATATATATTATTACCTTATCCTTTTTAATTAAATTATGATATATGAAGTATCCCTCATTTGCATTATTTTATAATCCTAATGTATTATAATTAATTAATAGTTTGGGCTTTCAGTAATAAACATAATTATACCATGTAATATACAAAATGGGATTGGAGCTGTCATAAACTAATCACTCAGAAATTATTTTCATTTCAGTTCATTTGTAACAATCAATTTGTCGTGTAATTTTACTTTTCGTGATCGTTGAATGAGTATTTTGATTTTAATTTTCGATCTTGATATTTCTTTTTTGGTCTGCTTATATACTTGCTTGGCTCAGGTACAATTTAACAAAAAAATTCTCTCTGAAGAAGAGAGAAATTAACTTTAAAACGAGTTGGTTCATTGGAAAGAGGACACTTTTATTAATACTTTGGGAAATTTTCATACTCATATTCCAAGAAATGGATTTTATGCGAATTTTTAAAACTTAATCGGAGAAAATTGCAAAATTCGAAAAAATTGTCGATCATTTCAAAAATTTATTTCTCAAGAACTAAAAGCGATTTTTCAAAACGGCTTGTTGCATTAAAAAGAGGATACTTTAATTAATAATTGGTGATATTTCCACAAGGATC